GCGTCTTTCCCAACATTTTATTTTCCCATGATTGTAAATGCTTTTATTTGATGCGTACAGTAGGCCTACTGTTTAATTAAGTTTGAGCTTAAATAAACACAATAAATGAAATGCTTATAAATTGGCATCAGTACAATTTATTAGCCTGCAAATAAAAATGTTTCTTTTTAATGTCAACAATTGGAGACAATGACACGAAACCTAATACAAATAACCAAAACACGAGAAAATTAATGACAGATATGTCATAGTGGGAAGTTAAACAGCTAATATTGCAGACAAAATTGCATAGCAGTGTTGCCAACATTGTTGCTTGCAAAGAAAAGCTAGGTTAAACTAAACTTTCATGACAAAATAGTGGGGAAAGCCATCCTAAGTTTAACCCACAGATTAAAGTTAACCGAGATTAAGTTAAACTTGATTTGGGGAAAGCGGCCCTTATTGTCATTGCCACTGAAAGTGATGCAACGACTTGTTGTATAATCAGCTGATTTCCTGTAATTACGTGTTTGTTAAACTTCGTCAAATATTACATTGCTAGCAGCATTCTTACCGTAAATAATATTGTATCAGGTACAATTCGGCAAATATTTCATTTATTTTTGGACTTCCACCAACTTAATTAAGAATACGCGAGTATCAACATGAACAAGTCGGATCAACAATTAAATTGGTCAACTGATCAGCTGATTAGTTGACGTTCGAAGCATTACAATTTTAATTCTTTTCTCTCAATACTTGAACCTCATTGGTCCGTTACCTGTGTGGATATGAGAAAACTATGCGGATATGAAATGAAACTATGCGGATATGAAAGTAAACAGCTGTAAAGTGAAACTTTTCAATTCTAAGAACTGGACTGAAATGGCTACTTTAAAAAACGGTCGTAGGTAAAATTTGTTTTGCCTTACTTCATACTAATGAATTATAGTCGTTTTAGTTCATTAGGATGGACTTTGACAAATAAACCATTATGTACAAACTTATGCATAAAACTTATGTAAAATTTATTTAGCGAGAAACCCTGTTAACGGGGTGGGTTCCATTCCCGTTGTCACAACAAATATTGTGTACCATATTGTCTCATGCAAAAATTTGCTTGTTACATTCCAAGGACAGGTCCATTGCGAATAGACAAATTTATGAGTATAAATTCTGCCTAAAAATATAGAATAAACGTCAAAATATCAGACCAATTAGGAAATCGAGGGAAACTATAAAATCTCTCTAAAGTTATACCTATTTTTAGAATGTTTACTGTTTACCAATTTAAACCAGGAAACTACATAGTTTATTCTCAGAAAGTAAACACTTGGTATTCAATGCCAAAAGTCATCTGAGTAAACAAGCATGTGTTAAACACAAGAGGATTGAAGAGTCATCTACTAGCATAGGGAATCGGAACGAGATAAATGGTTATGTAAACGCTTACTCATGGATACTTCGTAATCTTGAGAGGATTATTGAAACATAGTGAGTGATCTCAGGCAAAATCACTATGTATAAAACTCCTCTAACCGGAGTATCTAGATGAGATCATGTCTACTTTCAAAATTCAAAGTAATGAACGAAATTTGTCGTAAGTCAAATCAGCTGTCATTCACCGGTTAATTTATTTCCTCAATTCACAGCTGTCCAGCGAGTGGACATTGTTGAACAGCTGATCTACAATTGAGTCCTTGACTCTGTACTCTATGTGGATTACTCTATGGCGCCTTTGCACACCCTGTAGTCGTGGCAATCAGCTGATAAGGGGTCAGATGTCAATCGCTTTGATGTAACCTCTGATACCAAGATTGGAATCATGAATCAGCAATTGAGATTTTTTAAACTACGCATTTTACTGAGTATTCTACGTTGTTAAGCACTACGACTTTTGATATCTCCAACAAAAGTTTTGTTAAATATACTATCTTTGCAGATGTTGTCAAGTCTATTACAGTATAGCGACACAGTATTAAAAGTCATGTAAAATCAACATACATTTAACATACCACCGATTTTGAGTTTGTTTAGTAATATAGGTAGCCTACTGTGTTTTAAATATTTTAATATTTGGAACAAAAACACTAAGAAGAGTGTTGTAATGGGGTTTTTTCATTGTTTTAATTTTACTAATTTAATTGTTTGACGAGAACATGTTAAGCATTTTTGGACAGTATAGCTCGATTTTTTTATTATAATGTTTCAAATTTGGATTGAATTTTTCTACTTTCCTGGATAAAAACTCGTCCAAAATATTTCAAAAGTCTTCGTTATGTAAATTTGACCAAACACACGCCTAGGAAAATTACATAACACCGGTTTGTATAACCACGTTCAGATACAAAATCAAATAAACAATTTGTCATTGTTATATGTTAAACAATCAGAAAGTTAGGAAAGCCAACCAAAAGAGTTGATTTGGCAATAAAAGAGCATTACAGACTATAACAGCATGTCGACGTCTTGATTCATACAGATGTTTGTTTACATTTATTTGTGGGTCAGTGTTCCTTAAACTAGTCAGTTGTAATGGAAAATTCGTGTGTTAAAGATAATCAAGCATAACAAATTTGTTATAGCTAACTTCAGTACAATTTTATTTTTAACTCTTAAACCAACTTGTCATTTTCAAGTGTTTCATAGATGACTTGTTGAAAATCAAAATGTTTCATAGTCCTTTATAGGCACGAGAAGCCTATACCTAGAGTGAATAAAAAGTAAAGACCCACCCTCCCCCCTATAATATCTTTCTAAGTAAATATACAGAGATATCCTTTTGGTGGTCGTGCAATCTTAGTAGGAAGTTTCATTTTATGATTTTGAAATTTTTGAGTGTCGGGCAACTAAAAAGTTTTAAATGTAAACCCCCATCAAGTGACACCTTATTTTGAAGTGTTTACAAAAACTTAAAGAATGGTGAAAACCAAAGTTTGCTATATCTTCCCTATCCAAAATGGTAGCTCGTCAAATTGTATGGAAAATCAATGGAAATATAGGTTCGTAATGGTAATACATATTACAAATAAAAAGCTATGTAACACTTAAATGAATGACTATTCAAAGAATTCCACGAATATACGTTATTCAACCTTTGACCCTTTGTTTGTCTATTTCCACTCTTTAACCTCCAACCAGCAATTTTCCCCCAAGTGACATCATCCATTTCCTTTTATTTCTGTAACAATTGGTGACCTTATGAACTCTTTAATTAGTCTAGGATATGAAAACAAGGCAATAAAGTGCAAATATGTAGTCTAAAAATAGCTGATCTTTGACCCGCGTATCGGATGTGACGTAAAACAAGAGGTCGAACTAAACTTGCCTTCTTCACACCCTTGGGCTGATGGGATTGAAATAATAATTGAAAACTCTGATAAAAAGTTTGAAATTATACAAAAAAATATCTTTATTCTAATAAATCTATTTTCCTAGGTTAATGGCAAACCTCAATCTCTTGTCGTTCATATATCTTACCGATCTTACCAATCTTAGTCCGGTTTGAGTTTTGGTTGTTAGTTCCTCTGGAAAATACCGAAATCTCACAGGAAAGGACTTATGAAATGAAGGACTTCCTCCATTACAGGCAACACGATAATAATTGAATTTTACTAATTGAGACTAGACTAAACAGTGAAATATTTATGTACGTTCCCTTCAGTATAAAACAATAATAGACTATTATTTGACAAACATATTTATACAATTTCAATTGAGTTTTACTGTCTTTAGTAACTAAAATGGTATTCAAGAGAACTGATGATTTAGATTATCTAATTCGAGCATATATGCAAAGGTTGTCCATAAAACTATATATTTTGCATAACGTGTACTCATTGTGCAAAATTTCATTACAGTTATTAATATCATCATTTATTATTACTCCAATATTATCCTGTGTAAAATTAGGTGAAACACTTTAAAAGTCTAACAAAACATATATTGTTCTGTAAAATCGAGCTTCCAGTCATCATAACAATATGGTATTGAAAGCCAAAACCAAACTGTCATAGGCAAAATTGCAGTATTTCGAAGCATAACCAAAATTCCGAAAATTTACTTTTGATATATCTGGAAATGTTATCCCACATAACAAGTCCTTGAAGTGCTTTGTACTTTGAAGTACTCATTATTTGCAAATGATTATTTCAAGGTGTCGCGGCGTTTTTATGGGATTTAACAAGTATTTGCAAAAACAATAAAACACTTCAGAAACACTTACCTACATTGTAATCTCATGACATGACAACCTTTTACAATATTAGAGTATGTGTTGCACTTTATAAAAACTTCCATAAGATATTTATTGACACAGGTATCTTTTTATGACGGAAGGTTTTGTAGGAAATCCCGTAGTAAATGTCAGTTTTTAGAGATAATGAAAGATTGTGTAATTATTGAACAGCGAATTTTTCCAGTTTATATAATTTATCTTTCTATTTTTAATATTCATTTTTGCTTACGTAAATGTATGTAAATGTATATTGCTGTTTTGGCATTTCAGAGCTTTTGGCGGGGATACTGTATTTTAAATTGTAAAAAAGTGTTATAATGAACATTCAGAATAAATAATTACTAAATTATAAAAAAAACATATTCGAATTATCTAGTTGGATTTGGTAATTATTTTCCCAATTAAATACTCTTGATCTTAAAATATTTTCTAGCTCTTGGAATGAAATAATTTAATTTCACAATGCAATTTCGCAGAACCAATCTTTGTGGTGCTCCAATTAATCAAATTTAACAGATTTAAACTCTTCAGGGTGTAACAAGGTTAAAATTCAAATGTATCTTTCATTCATTATAACATAAAACATTTTATAGCTACCCAAAATACAGTGTATACAATATTGAGTTTAAAATTTGTATGTCGTCATACTGCAACGACACAGTCGGTCGAGTTAGTTCCATACAGGTCCGCTAGGTGTCTCGCGCATGTCGTTCGTGACGCCACAACGTCGACCAATGGCGGCGCAGTTCTGATCGATAACTGAAATGAATAAAACCGCGCTAGCAGTTGCTACGTTATCCAGTAGATGCGTGGCAGTTGTGAAGTGCGCTGAATTTGAATCCAACTTGATCGATTCTGTTCACTGATAGTGTTTATGATAACGTGTTATAAACATTGTCATGTATAACCTCCCCAAATAGGTGTTTCAGTGAGCTATTGTTGAAATTAACTTAGTTCGCTCCAGTGAAGTGAAGTAACTTACTCGTGCAGTAAAACATTTTCTCTTCGCCAAGGTTGCATTATCAGTAAGCATGGCTTTTATGATGCCAGTTGTGAAAAATGACTATAACATTTACAAAAACGGTCGGTCCAGAAGGAGTTCAGAGTGTTCGAATCCACAGTCCTGTCGTTCACGCAAAGTCTCGGAGTGCTCCAAGTCCGAAGGCCCAAGCCTTTCTACTTCTCCAGGCAGCGACTTCATCGTCGGCAGCCCTCACAGGTCCATCCCCATGGCAATGTCTTCGAAGTACTCCAGGAATTCCTCAAGGAACTCCCAGTCGAGTCTTCAGTCGCCGAGCAAATCGACGTCGTCGTCTCCTCCCAAAACGGCGTCAACGTCCTCCCTCAACAAGTTCCACACTAGGGTTGTTGACAAGCTGAAGAGGTCGTTGAGGATAAAGGACTCTAGAGATGGTAAGAAGCTTAAAATTAACTTAGTTAAGCTAAGTAGAGCATGCAATAGCTTTTATTTAGGCCTTAGGGGTTTTTTACACCCAATAGTAGTATATTTGCGGGTCAAATAAAACTTAGTAGTCCTACCTCTTTTTAAAAATACCTAATTTTACCTAAGCAATATTTTCCTAATGAGTTCAAAATTTTAAATCAAATTCGGGAATATCAGTTCGGCGGGCGGGAGGAATGCACGCTCTACGTCATGGAAAAGTACTGGAGAACACGGTGGGAGGGGGAGGGGCGAGGGAGCTATTGAACCATCATAGGTTAACCGGCCTAAGTTACTTCCAGCTGTTCTTATAAAATGCAGTCTGCAACTAAAAATAATTTGACTGTTGTGTTGTTGTTGACTTCAACCATACAGTACAGAAATTATTTAATTAGGTTTGATTGCCTGTCAAATTGAGATGAGGTAAAATAAAAATAATCTCTCCCCTTCATAACCAGAATTAACTATGAAAAAAACATCAGGTGCATTGCTAAATATCTTGTTCAATACCAAATTGCGTGCAAATCCTAAAATGCATATTTACCATGATTGATAACTATTAGGTACCGGTACATCACATTATTAAAAAAAAAAATATCTTCCTAGGTTTGGAAAAAATATTGATTGTTTTTATCTGTAATTACTGTCAAAAATTGGTATTGTGAGGTTTTATCGAAACATTTTTACTGACATGTAAAATTATATCCCAGCCGTAGGTAAGGCCTAACCTATATGTGCATGTGTTTGCATGTGCATGTACTGACTGTTTGTGTCTCACCAGGCCCTTTCTTGTGCCAGGGACTGATGGTTCTCGCAGGACGTCCTGAGAGGGTGCTCCGACCTCAGATGCCGAGGAAGAGCTTCTCGTTCAGCGGAAGACCGCCACTCCAGTGCTAGTGCCGGCTTCTCGCCGTCGAGACGACCCAGAGCCCCGTGTTGCGAGTTCCTACCCCGGCACCACATCCTTTTGGCGCTGGTGATAGTGAAGTGACATTGACACGGAGTTCTTTCGGACCTAGTGAATTATTTATTTTGTGTAGTGTTTTATAAGCCTTGACTCCTTTAAGGAGGTAAGTCAGTTTAAGTTTCCTGTAAAGCTAAGAGTCTACTTTTGTTAATTAGTAACATGTAAGCCATTTGAGTTTAGGATGTATTTAGGTAAAGTAAGTGCAATATTGTGGAAAAAGTTGACAGTGCTTGTTCTAACATTCCATTATTTAACGAGGCGTAAATTGCAGCATGTTTTTTGCTCAGGGTTACGGTAATCTAGTTCAATTCCTAAAGGTATAGTCCTAGGGCTGAAAGAAAACTGTTACCTATCTTGAAAGTACTGATTGAGGATTTAAACACATCACTCAAATGTTTAATTAATATCAAGTAGGCCCATTCCATCTATTTATTATGTTATTTATTCTCTTACATCTTTAAATTTACATAACTTATTATTTATTTAGCAAATACTTTAAATTTACAAATAAGTTCATAAGTAGACAGGCCTACAGCAAATCACGTGTTGGATTTCTTCTGCTCTCTATTTTTCCAAGCTTTTCCATTGTTTGAAAAGGTTGTTGGTTAGTTCGTCTAACGTAAAAATTTACAAAACATGTTTCTGCTTATTTAAGTTGGACGTTGAACAATCATATTTAATACCGACTATACAACTAGCAACTAAATTAGTTCAATAACTAAATGCAAACCCCTTATTTTTTAGATTAAGTTTAATTGAGTGAGAGTAAACAACTTGCGTCTTACACACGCTTGAGTCCTGAATGTAAGCCAAAAATATTGTAGGTATATACTGAAAGTAAACCCTTATTTATGTACCTTACCTTGTTAAGAACGAATGTTCTCTCGGAATGACTGAGTTAGGTTAAGTTAAAACAGGTTCATAAGTTAGTACTTAAGATAAGTAGAAGCTTTATTCAAGTTCCACAGTATTTATGACTAGGTTAATTATGGCAATGTAGTTGTTTAATCCGGTTCCCTTATGTTTTCTCGCTCAGATTCTGGTTTTCCTTGTGCTCATGATTAATTGCCTTAGTTCGGAGGTCAATGAACCGAAGCCACTGTTCTATTTGCTCTGGTATTGCAGATAGCTTGATTGATGTTAACGGGTACCTGTTTCTAGTGATTGTTGATGCTAGGTAGCCTTTTATGTTACCTGACGATTGTGGGATGAAGACTGTGATAAGCAGGTTTAGGAATAGGTGCTCTGTTTTTGTAAAATTAAATTTTTTGCAACCACATCGAAGTAGTCTACAGCTCAAAAGTTGCTAGCCTGAATAAATATTTTTTGTACTTCTCGTATTCAATTTACTTTGTAGCCATGGATCATAGAACCTACAGTGTGTTACATAACTTACACATGAACAATCGCTTCTATCCTGATGTGGCAAAAGATTTAATTTATGCATACGTAATTTAACCAATGTATTGGCCTTCATAGTGAAATAGATGTTGTGCTGTGAATACTGTATACAAATGTACAGCGTTGCTGTTTATTTACACGTAATTTACAGTGATGCATTATTTTGTATAGATTTGATTCTCAATGCTCGGTGTAAATACAAGAAACAAACGGTAAATTCTTAAGTAACTTTCTAGCTCCCCGTCATTTTTTACAGTTATGTTTAATAGGCTACTCCCTTTTTTCTTGCCAGTAGATTTTTTAGCCAGTGGATCACACATTCCCCCCTATTTTAGGACCATAAGTTATTTAAACAATTAATTTAAGTTCATTATTTGGTATTTAGTTATTATTTTTTACCAAGTAAGACCTATTTTGTTAGCCAACTTTTGGTAAATAAATAAGTTTTTATAATTTAATGGCTGTGTTATAAATTGCCCTTGTACTATCCATTCAATCAAACTATTAAAATGAAGAAATATCACTTATAATACATACAAAAAAATAACTTTATCCTACTTATCAGACAAAGAAAGGCTAAGGATATTAGCAAGGTATTAATTCTTTATCAGTAAGGCTTCACCTCTTCAATTTTATTTTTATGAAACCTGGATTTTCAAACAGTAATTTAATGGCCATCTTTTGTTTAAATATATGGACTGTTTCCAGGTTATAAGTTTTTACAGTATTTTAAAATGTAAATGAAGTAAATTATGTGATCAACAACAAATCAAATTAAACCCAAACAGATATCAAATTTAAAAAATGATCACTGACTAATCAAATGAAATTTTATTTTTGCATTCATTAACTGGTAGACCTTGGTACAGGCCTGCTTTCTACTAGCCCTTACTACTTTTAAATCATATTCAGTGTAATATAAAATCGTTAATTAATCTTCTAATTGATTTAAAATTTTCTAAAAAGGACCAAATATTGTCTCCATGTTAAAATAACAAACTTGGTAGCTTCCAATAATAAACAGAGAGAACATACACAATACACATGTCGAACTATCTAGACTCACTTTCAGATGATACAAGTTAAAAATACAAAGATAACAGTGCTTGAAATAACTACCAACAGTGCTCCAATGTCAATTGATAACCTCAAACAGAATATCACTGTTATGTGCCTGTAATGCTGTAATAGTGATATGAGTTATCTACGAGGACTGAACTGGCGGCGCCTAGAAGTAGGGTGAAAGGTTGACTTGTATCTTTTGATCTTAAACTTTAACCCTAAAGCTGTGCGGGTGAAAAATAAATTAATTGAATGGGATGCCAGTTCGGTGTGCATATTAACCCAAATATGAGTTAAAATGGAGTGATGCAATCTTTAGCTTTACGGCTGAGATCAGCTGTTTCAGTATAGGATCATGTTTTAGCCCGTTAAATCAAGGACACCTGGGTCTAGTTTCTAACCATCAAAAAGCTACTGACTTTTCTCAGGATCGAACCGGCGACCTTTTGATTGTTGGTCGAGCACTGTAACTAGCCAGTGCCCAGTATGTCTGTAACAATCACAGAAAATAGAACCCAAAGGTAACAATTCACTGATGAGCAAATAGTGTAATTTTTAACAGCCAATGCTTTTCCTAAAAGGTTTTTAAAGATTCTAAGACAAAAATAAATGCCGTAACAATTAAATTGTTTTGAGATCATGGCTAATGCTGCAAAAATCAGACAATAATTATTAGACAGTTAGTTAGTTATGTATCATTTTTAAGTGTACGTACTTGTTTTTTTTTTTTTTTTTTTGTTTTTTTTTTTTAGAAAAACTGAAAACTAAGTGTATTACTTATAGAGTAAATGTGAATATTTATTTTCAGTATACCAACAGGACCTAGTAGAGCAAGTTAAATTCCAGTTGAATTCTCCCCCTCGAACTTTTGTAATATCTTACACTTCGCATATTTTATTCAAAGTTTTAGTGTGATTTGTTTATTGGTTTTATAGCCACGTTTTTAACTGTACCTCACCGATATTTTGCAATGAAGTAATTTTTAGTGCAACTGCTGAAATAGCTTATTTACAATAATTGTTTTCTATACTTTTGGAACTATACAGGTTTTTTCCATGTACAAGTAACACTTTTTTATCAAATATACAAAAATACTTCCAACTTGTCAACTGGAATCATTAAAGAATTATATTGTGTTAAAAACTTATCTACACAGTTTTAGGTCTAATCAGATTAACCAAATTATTATGTCGACACCAGAAAAGGATGAAGGGTTGAATTGTTCAAACAGTTCGTTTAAAATATGCATTTACTCCAAAATTAAGCAAATGTGGAGTTCAAAGAAAAATGTTCACAATTGCCAAATGTTTTTATTCTAAATTGTGAAACCCTCAAATTACTATAGAATCTGAAAATAACTTAGATAAGCTGGCTGAGGATATTTTCAGGATATCAGACGAGAATGAAACTGTAAGGACTTTATCGAGCCAGCTCAACAAAGACCTTCGTAGGTCAAAGGGCATCAGATGACGTAAAGACACTGAATGTAATCCTACTGTAAGTAAGCTTACAAAGCATTCAAATATGTAACGTTATACCTTTTAGGATGTAGTATCATTACTCATTGCAATTTAGTAATGTTTAAGTAATGTTTTTGGTGCGCAAAATATGTCGTAGGTTGGTTCTACTATTTAAAAGTATGGTAATATACATTCATATTATAAGCTTGACAAGTTCAAAGTAAGATCAAATACAGTGAAGAACGTATTTTTAACGTCACCAGTTCACTTGACTATTTTAAACCTCTCTTTTTGGTAAAGATTTCAGTAATTTAGTCTGTGATCCTGTATTGACCTTTGAGCTTTAAAATTAAAATACATCAACTTCTCAATACTCTTAGCACATTTTAAACTGTTAATTTTACCAATAAAAGTGTTTATGAGATGCGAAAACCAACAATTTCAATTTGAGTTAGTTCAAGAAACGTTCTAAACAATTGAGAAAGTAAAAATAAAATCGTAACGATCTAATTTAGAACATCGCCAACCATGTGATTGGAAGATTAACTGTTATTACTTTTACGCCCTTGTATGACATATTGGCCTTTTGTATAGAGGGCCAAAATCAAAATTTGTGCATTGACGTCAATGGACACTCACTGCATTATTGGCCAATCAGAGAACGCCTTAGTCCACTATTCTAGTCCCATTTCATAACCTTTCAAACCCCCATTAACACGTTCGCTACTGAGCGTCGCATATATGCGACGCCACGGTCATTGCCACAGACCGAGGTATACATTTGAATCTTACACATAGACCGACTGTCACTTGGATAACAGTACAGACCACGGGCGAAAACCTGTAAAACAGTGATCATTTACATTGTAATACGCTACAATTGTGTTTGTAAATAAATTATTCCTGTTTATTTGTATTTTTTATAACCTTTTGTAATGTCGCATATTTGCGACGCTCGGTCTACAGCGAAGACAATAGTGAAAATTATCATATTTTTCTTGAAATAGACTAAACGTCGCATATATGCGACAGTTCATTTTTATGTGTTTTAAGGTGAAAGTAAGTAAATAAATAAACAGATTATTCAAGAACAGTTTATAACTGAACAAATATAAAAGCTACATAGGATAATGCAGCATACATACTGCATACATACATACAGTGATGCAGAAAAGTAAAGACCAGTTTTTCCAACTATTGTATGACGTCACCAATCATCATATCCACAGACCAAGCGACGCAGTTGTGCGTCAGACATCTCTGTAGACCACTGCAGGGAATTCAGTGCCTTCAAATAGACCACTACAAAGATATAAGCATTTTAATAACATTAGAACCCCGACGCAAATATGCGTCGGCAGTCTATTTTAATGTGACTAGCCGTCGCATATATGCGACAGCAGTCTATGGGTGGAAACCGGCCGTCGCATATGTGCGTCGCTGGTCCATGTGAATGGAAAATTTCGTACTATTGCAGTAGCGAACGTGTTAACTGTTGATAAGAATCTGGTTGGGATCAATTGTGATTGTTGTTCAAATAATACAACAGACACTGAGCAACATTTAAAATAAAGTGCTGTATATTACAAAACTGGGATTATGTTTTAGGGATCCAGTTGTACGAGTATGTTTTAGGGATCTAGTCGTATGAGTATGTTTTAGGGATATATTCGTATTAGTATATTTTAGGGATCTTGCTAGTCGTAGGAGTATGCTTTAGGGATCTGGTCGTACAAGTATGTTTTAGGGATATAGTCGTAATCGTATGGTTATGTTTTAGGGATCTAGTCGTAGAAGTATATTTTACGGATATAGTCAAATGAGTATGTCTTAGGCCTTTAGGGATCTAGTCGTACGAGTATGTTTTATGGATATAGTCGTACGAGTATGTTTTAGGGATCTATAATCGTACGAGTATGTTTTAGGGATATAGTTCGTATGGGTATGTTTTAGGGATATAGTCGTGATCTAGTCGTACAAGTATGTTTTAGGGATCTAGTCGTACAAGTATGTTTTACAGATCTAGTAGTACAAGTATGCTTTAGGGATCTGTCGTACGAGTATCTTATAGAAATCTAGTCGTACGAGTATCTTTTAGGGATGTAGTCGTATGAGTATGTTATAGGGATGTAGTCGTACGAGTATGTTTTAGGGATCTAGTCGTACAAGTATGTTTTAGGGATCTAGTCGTAAGAGTATGTTTTGGGTATCTACGATTTATTCAATATTGCATAGTGACAAATATAGAAATCTGATTTCACAATGGTACCTTTGATGATATCTGATAAGCACAAAATATCCCAGTTCTATGTTAAACTTGTCAGTAAACTGTTAGTTTATGTTCAAAAATAAATTCCAGAGAAATAATTCCAGAATTTAACAGCGAGCTGCAGTCAGCAATTATTATTTTCTGCCGTGTCAATAGAACGACACAGATAACAAACCGTTACAAAGCCAAAGTGAGAGGACCGTATTGCAAACCACAGCAACTTTATGTCTTATTCTTGCAGCTAATTTTTCGTCATGTAGCCTATGAATATTCGGGGGAAGTAGCAATTAATTGTTTCTCGATACTCCTTGGGGTCGCTCAAGTGTTGCATCACCCTATGCAGTTTCTCTGTGGATCGAAGAGACTAGCGGAAGGCTCGATTGCAGCATAACACCTTTAGATGACTCAGTCAGTATCTGTTGACAAAGTTTATCTATGGTTTCGCCGTTCAATGAGGTAACCAGTTAGCGATACGGCCTTTTAAGGGTTCCATTACATACACCTCCCCAACTACACTATAGAAGTTAATTTATTTCGTTACACAATAAAGGTGGCAATGTACTATGCAAATATTAAAACGTTTGCTCATAGCTCCGAAAATTGCAAATCGTCCTATAAGTCCGAAAATATTTTAAGCTGTAGGAACTTTAGGTTTATTAGCTACTAA